TCCCCCGCCGGAGGTCGGAGTCAGAGAGCCACACTGACACCAGCAAGACACAAAAGCCACTCATTCCGACGGACGATGGAAAGTCTAACCAGGTGCATAAAACATATTGGCATAAAATTAGTGAACTGCACTAACAGATTGTAAATCACCTAAACGGTCAAACCACAGATATGAATCACAAATTCCTATAAAGATTAATGTTTCCTAAGATTCACAGCAATTATGCATTTTTTGGACAAAAGCCTTCTCCCAACCTCTCATTCCTGAGCGCTGCTTTTTTCTGAAGTCTTTCCAGGTTTCGGTGGGGTTTCTAATGAACGATTTACCAAAGGAAAGGTTTTATTAACACCTCTAAAAACTATAAAGTTTAAAGGGAGGGAGAAAGGGAGCAGATAGGAAGTTAGGTAACACAATATACTGACCTATTGGCAACGGTCCGAACGCAAATCAGCAAAGCACCACAATGGTGGGAAAAAAAACCTCAGAGAAATGAAAGGGAAAAAATAACACCAAGGGGCCAGCTTTGCCCGAGCGGGGACGAGGCTGCTGTTCAGAGCTGCCCCCGGAGCCTTCAGCATCTGCTGATGGCCCTTACCTTTGCTTACCCCCTTGTGGTACACAGTGAAGTCTGGTCTGCTTAAAAGCAGCAGCAGAAGGAGGAGAACACGATTGCGAGCAGAAAGGGGACATTATTTCTCGAGGAAATAGGCTGGCAGGAGGTGTACGGGACTTCAGGTCTCTCAGGCACTATTTTTCCCTTCTCGCCTCTGTGCAGAACCGGAGATAATAGTTGGGGCTGCAGGTAACGGAGTCTGTTCTTATTCAATTTCCCTAAATGGCCTGGAGAGCACTTAAAAGCCCGGGGAGCTTCTGGCCAGCATTTTCTTATTAACTAATTTCACTTCGATCCTATTAAAGTGTATGCTTTATAACCTTCAAATGAACCTCTCCCTTTCCCTTTTCCTCTCCCTCTCCCTTCTAAAACAAAGCCATTACCTTTTAACGACAGAGTAAAGCTTTCAAAAGCGTTGCTCCCTCCTTTCCTAACATTACAGGACGCGTGTCACACAAACAGCCCCGGAGCACCCACTGCTGCTGACCCCCACCCACTACCCACTGCTGCTGACCCCCCCCGCCCCCCCAACACCCAGGAAGGCTCTGCCGAGGCTCGGCGGGGCCA